ACACAGGGGGATGGGGACAGGAACATGGAGGATAGGGACACGGGGACACAGGGACACGGGGACATGGGAACACAGGGGGATGGGGACAGGAACACAGACAATAGGGAATGGGGACACAGGGACATGCAGGGACACAGGGGGAGGGGGACATGGAGACAGGGACAGGGGGACATGGGGACATGTGGGGATGGAGACACAAGAGGATGGGGCCATGGGGAGGGGGCCATGGGTACAGGGACATGAGGACACAAGGAACAGGAGGACAGGGGACAGGGACACGGGGACACAGGGGGACAGGGATGGGGAATGGGGATAGGGGGATGGGAACATGGGGACATGGGGGGACAGGGACACATGGGGACAGGGACACAGAGAGTTGAGGACTTGGGGACAGGGACATGTGGGCATGGGGACAGGGACAGGGAAGGACACAGGGACACAGAGACATGGGGACAGAGACACAGGGACACAGGAGGATGGGGATGGGGGGACACGGGGATACAGGGACAGGGCCACAGGGCCACGGGGGTCCCCTCACCTTCTCGCCAGCAGGGCCAGGAGCACCCAATTCCCCCACGGGCCCCGTCTGCCCCTTCAGCCCCTCGGGACCGTCCTCACCGCGGGGGCCCAGCGAGCCCTGGTCACCCTGGAAGGAAAACGCAGAGGTGTGGGGAGCACGCTGGCAGGGGCCGGGGGGGACATGGGGCTGCTCCCCCAGGTCCCCCCATCTGTCCCCCAACCCCACTTCCATCCCCAGGAGGTTTTGTGGCACCTGCAGCCGCCCCCCGCAGCCCCAGTGAGGAGACCTGACCCTGGGCCCCCACTTACCCTGTCACCCTTGGGGCCCATGTCCCCCTTAAAGCCGGGAAATCCATCTTCTCCCTGAAAAAGAGACACATTTGGGGGGGGGACAGGGGGGGCTGAGCCTGTGTTAGCACCAGTGCAACCCCCAGATGGGGTCACAGTGTGGGGCTGAGCCCCAAATCCCAACACAGAGGGGCTGGGCCCAGCTGCCCCCCCCCGTCACAGCCATCTCAGGGCAAGGACAAGTGCCCCCCAACACCGGGGACCCACAGACACCATGGGACAAGGACCCCCCTCCCCTGCTGCCCCCTCTCCCCGACACCTCTTACCTTCTCCCCTTTGCTGCCCTTCAGGCCCCGCACGCCAAAAGCTCCCTGGAGGGACACAGCAGGGTTGGAGGGGAGACCTCAACTTGGGGGCCACCCCCTGACACCCCCCCGCGTCGTGCCTCAGAGGGGGAGGCTGCACTTACCTTCACCCCACGGGGTCCGGGGTAACCGACGGGACCAGGGGCACCCACAGGGCCCTGGGGACAGAGACAGCAAAAATGGGACCCTCCCCTGGGAAAAATGGCCCTCGGGATAAGAGGAGGGGAATCAGCCCCTCACCTGGAGGCCCTTCTCTCCGGCTGGCCCTTCTCGGCCAGGGTGACCCTGCGGGGACACACAAGACGTGAGCCCCGAGCTGGGAGGGTGACGCTGTGCCAGGGTCCTCACTCCTGGGGACCCCAGTGACCCCGCAGCCCCTCACCACTACTCACCGGGGGCCCGTCGGCCCCAGCCACACCTTGTATTCCCGGCTTCCCCGGCAGGCCCTGGGCAAGAAGAGGATGTTTGGGGGTGCAGAGGGACTGAGGTGGCCCCTCCAGAGACCCCCGATCTGCTCAGAGCAGGGACAGCTGTGGGACACCCCCCGCCCCCATCCAACTCACCTTCTCCCCCGGCAGCCCGACGGGGCCCTGGGGGCCCGGCAGACCCTGCAAGAGAACAGACCGGGGTGCTGGGAAGGGACTGGGGGACCCCCTGAGCCCCCCCCGCCCTGTGGGGACACCTTGCTGGCCCCCCATCTCCTCCATATACCTGGGGACCGGGGTTCCCTTGCTGTCCCGGGGGTCCCGGCTCCCCCTGGATTCCCTGAGAGTTGGAAAAGTCCGTCCGTTAGTGCAGCCAAAAATGTCCTCAGACCCCAGGATGTGCCACTCCGGCCCTCGCTGCACCCCCGTGCACCCCCCAAGGGCCCAGCCCTGCCTCCCCCTCCTTACAGCACCCTGTTTTCAGGCTGGGTGCTCCCAGGGCGGGGGCCCCCACTGAAACCCACCACGTTGCCTTTGGGCCCCGGCGCTCCGTCGATGCCGCTGGCACCCTGTGGAGAAAGGAGATGGGGGGGGTGTGTCAGGGCGATGCCGTGTCCCAAGGTGACACCGTGCCAAGGACGATGGGGCTGTGAAAAACCCCCTTGGCCCAAGATGGGGACAGACAGACAGACAGACAGACAGAAGCAGTGTCTCATACCGGGGGGCCAGGGGGGCCGGGGGAGCCACGGGAGCCGATCAGGCCTCGTGTACCCTAGTGCCAAGGACAGAGGGGTCAGGGGGGGCTCTGACAGCAGCAGAGTCCCCCAGGGAATGTGGGGTGTCCAGCTCCCAAATCTCCCCTCTGAAAATCCACAGGGAGAAAGGAGGGGGCCCAGCTTGTCCCCCCCGGGGCTGGGGGAGACGGCGGGCCGGGCTCCCAGTGCCGGAACAGGTACTTACGGGTTCCCCGGGTTGTCCCCGCGGCCCCGGGAGCCCGTCAGAGCCCTAGAGAGGAGAGAGCGGAGCTGAGCGCATCCTGCCGAGCCCGGCAGGGCCTGATCCCGCCCTCCCCACGCTCCGCACCTTGGCGCCTTTCTCCCCGGGGGGGCCCGCGGGTCCCGGTTTGCCCAGGTCACCCTGCAGGAGAGACGAGAGGGGTGAGGGGTGAGGCAGCGCGGGGCCGGCGGCGGCAGGAGGGGCCGCGGCGCGGTTCCGCTTACCCTGTGGCCCTTCTCGCCCGGCAGCCCCGGCAGCCCGTCGAAGCCCCTGTCACCCTGCGGGGGGGTAGGACAGGAGTCAGGTGGGTGTCCCGGCCTCCCCCCCACCCCACTGCCAGCACTGATACCGCCCCACGCATGAGACCTTGGCTCCGGTTTCCCCCGGGAGGCCTCGGGCACCGTCTGCGCCAGCACGACCCTGCGAGACAAGTTGAGGGAGTGGGATGGAGCCCCAAGGCCCAGAGCCCCACCCGCACCCCAGGAAAGGGGCACCCCAACCCCTGATAAATTCAGGGGAGGCAAAACCCAACCCTGCCCAGTGCTTACCCGTCTGCCCAGTTTCCCCGGTGGCCCTGGTGGTCCCTGCACTCCCCGAGGGCCCTGATGAAGAGGAGGGGGAGGCGTCAGGGCTGCCTGCAGCCTGTCAGGGGCATCACCCCACACGCCCCCCCTCCACCTCGCACAGCCCAACCGAGCAAGACTCACCCGTGGCCCCATGTCCCCTGCGTCTCCTTTCAGCCCCGGGTGTCCAGGTAGACCCTACAAAAACATGAGGAGGTGTTGAGCCCCCCCAAGAGGGTTTGCTCAATGAGATGAGCCCGATACAGTGCAGATTAGTGGGGTGGGTACCCCGCAAGCAGCCCCCACCCCAGCTGGACTCACCAGCGGTCCCGGGCGGCCAGTCAGTCCCGTGGGGCCGGGGGGGCCCTTCATGGCAAGCTGGGGAGAGAAGGGAGGCGAGGAGTGAGCGAGGAGGCTGGGAATGGGGGGGGGGTGCGGGGTGTCAGTCCTGGAGGGGCCTCACCTTCGCCTGCTGCAGGATTGCCTGGGCTTGGGCTTCTTGGAAAGAGACAGTGGGACCCTTGAGGGAGTCTCCACCAAACTGGAACTGGGGGGAAGGAGGAGGGTGAGGGACAAGGAGGGGGGCCACTTGACCCCCGCGCTGGGGACATCCAGTTCTGTGTCACCTAGAGAGCTGTCCCCCGCCGGGAGCAGGCGGGAGGGTCCCCGAGGGGGTCCCAGCACTTACCGGCAACATGATCATGGTCCCTGCTGGTCCACGGATCCCGTCGGCTCCCGGCAGCCCCGGCCGTCCCGCGGGACCCTGGCAGAGGGGAAGGGGAGGGGGGGAATAAAGCGTCACCGCAGAAGCCAGGCTGTCAGGTCAGGGCTTGCAGCTCCATTGCCCCGCACACACGCCAGCGTGCACCGGCATGATCGCTGGGACGCCCGCGGCCCCAGCCCTGCCGCGGGGCAGCTCTGGCCCCGGCACAGCTCTCCCCGGCTGCTCCGTACCTGATCTCCAGGGTCCCCGGGCAGCCCTGGGAGTCCCGGGGGTCCCAGGGGACCCGTTTCTCCCTGCGGAGAAGACAGAAAGACGTTAACACTTTGGCAGCTCCATTCCCCTCCCCTTCCCCAGCAACCCCTCGCTCCTCACCGCAGGGCCTGGGGGTCCCGGCGGCCCCTCGAATCGACGACCCTAAAGGAGAAAAGAGCGAGTGCCATCTGGGGTGGGTGGTCCTGGGGGCTGCAGAGGGCTGGGGGGGCCACGCGTGCCCGAGGGGGCTGTGCCCCACTCACCGGTTCCACAACAGCTGG